TCATGTGCTCCACCCCCCTAATCAGTTTTGTTGCCCTTCGCTGGACTCTTTCCAATTTTTCCACATCTTTCTTGTAGTGTGGGGCCCAAAACTGGACACAGTACTCCAGATGAGGCCTCACCAGTGTCAATTGCTGCCCTTAGAATCATCTTAAGGTGTTAATAGTAACAAAGTGAAGAGGTTTACTTTTTAAAGTATGGTCATTTTAATGTTCTTTCCCCTTTAAATACAGATGTCACAAGCTGTCAAACAACTGTTCCATGTGCCAAACTCTAGAATCTTAAAGCAGTTCCATACCATGGACTGACAGACTGTATCTGAACACAATTCTCTGGCCTCATCTCCCCTACGTCCTCCCCATTCTGTTGCTTTATCCAGTTGGATTTCACCCTGCATTTCCCCACATTCGTCCAAAACTAGCTCTGCTGAATCCTAATTATCAGGCCCTCGACTGGTCTCACTTGAGTGCTGAGTACACACATCTGTGGATTATGGTCACTGCCTCTGCCTCCTCCCAGGTCTCAAAAATCAACAGCCATGGCCCTGTGTTGCCAACACACATGATTTTATCACGTCTCATTTTTCTTAAAGCTCCAGCTCCTGGAGCCATGTGATCATATGGGAATCCCAACTGTCATTAAAAACTAAGTTCCTAGACCTCATGGCGGCAGAGAAAAGCTTGAAAAAGTGACCCCTAAAGGCTCAAAAGCCAGACGGCAAATACCCTCCCTAAATGTATTATTTTGAAATTTCATGATTTTCGAGGCCTGACTCGTGATTTTGGCATGTGGGGCTGACCTGTTTCTACTCCTCCTCTCCCTGTCACAGGTCTTCAAATCTAGTGCCAAGCACAACAGGACCAATCTAGGCCCTCAGAGTGCTAGCACAATACAGATATTAAGTATTAATAGTCTATCGTCTGGGCCCGACATTACCACAGCCATGTGCCACATGCTCTCGCTGATGGGAAGGGGAGGAAGCATGCTCAGCGCCTGGCCGGGGAAGTCTTTTAGTCCTCCCACCTAAAGTCAGAGTCAACCTTCGGCCAGCTGAGGGGCAAACTGATACCTTGCGGGGAGCGTGAGGGCTGCACCTCATTCCCATGACAGCATGTTGCAGTCGCCTCATCTTTACTCCCAGGGGTGGCTCCAGGCACCAGTGTAGCAAATGCGTGCCTGGGGCGGCAAGCCACGGGGGGTGGCCTGCCAGTCGCTGTGAGGGCGGCAGTCAGGCGGCCTTCGGCAGCATGCCTGCAGGAGGTCTGCCGGTCCTGCGGTTCTGGCAGCAATTTGGCGGCGGGTATGTGACCGTGGACTGCCCACAGGCATGCCGCCGATGGCCGCCTGACTGCCGTGCTTGGGGCGGCAAAAAACATAGAGCCGCCCCTGTTTACTCCAGAGGCGTGGCCTGCCCAGACTCCCGATTAGCATACAGCACAGTCAGGTGGGTTGAGGAAGCAATGCCCGCTCAGACCAGTACTCTCTATAGACCTCAGCTCTGGATTAAAGACAAGCAGCGTAGGCTGCAGTTAGCCCGCAGCTGGACTTTCTACAGCCATCCTTGATGCAGTGTCCCAGGGCCCATCCTGGGATCTGACTCTCCCATTGCTTGCTCTATTCATGGCCCTTCCTTCTCATTTCCAGCCTCACTATCTCTCTAACCAGATGGTCACACTCCCCCGGTTATTAGGATCCATTGCTGAGCTGTAACGCTCCCTCCGCCCCGCCCAGAGAGAGCTGTTCTGGCTCCCAGCCTGCTCATCCCCAGCTCCATTTCATCCAGACGCCTCCTTGGAAAGTGCAGCCCGCTGACCCTGGTTTAAGCCCATGATATGTGAATGCTTCTGGCTTCCCCTCTGGCCCCTGGCAGTCTCTCTCCGAGTAGGCAGGCACCACAGGAATTCCATACAAGCGCCCTTCTCTCCCGGAGAAGAAATCCGCATGGAATTTCGTAGCTTTGAGAACGCTTTGAACTGGTTTTCGGGTTCCCAGCGGTAGCTCAGGTTCCCAGCCCTTCTTCCCCTTCCCGCTGCCTGCACACACTTTTGTTATCTAACCAATCCCAGCCCTTCCCCCGGCTGATTCTTTCTTGACATGTTTTTTCCAGCTGCGGAGCACACCCAGGGTTCTCTTCACAGAGGGCAAGATCCTCAGCCGGGGTAAAGTGACAGTGACTCACTGAAATCAATGGAGCTACAGCAAGTCAAGTCAAAGCTAGGCTGAAATCAGTGGAGTGCCAGGTGCTGGGCCAGAAGCTCCCCAAAGCTATTAATTTGTATTACACTAGGACCCAAAGGCCTTCTAGGCTAGGTGCTATACAACCGCACAGCCTGCACCCTGCAGAGTTCATAATCCAGGAAATGGGACAGAGCCGATCAGACCACCCCTCTGCCATCTTTCCCACGTTAGGTATTTGCTTTCACTCTGCCCACTCTCGCTTCCCTTTTTCATGGCTTGTCATAGGCAGAGAGCAAACCTTGAGATACCAGAGCCAACCAGGCCAAGCCATCAGTGCTCGCATTGGGTTTGCAGTTAGGCAGCAGGATTTCAGGGACTTCTTTCATTCTGACACCACCACATTAGTGTCCCCAAGTTCACTGGCCTCCCCCCACACTGTGCACCGCCAGCGGGCAGGGCAACTCCCCGTGTCAGCCTGAACAGGACTCGCTGTGCGTGCACAAGGGCCAGTATCCCTGGAGCTCACTAGCTGGGCATTCAGTTCATAGCACAACGTGCACATTCGTTACAATCCGAGCTGAGATAGTAACTCAGTAATCCCAGCTTGCTTCCTCTCGGTTCTCTGTCTGCGAGCCGCGCTTTAAGGAAGCGGGGGGCAGGCTGAGTGAAAGCGAGCATTTCACATCGTGGTTTTCCTCTCCAGATAGACACCTTCCCATGGGCACTTTACCCAAGCCCACCCCCTCGCATCTCCCCCACTCCTGCCCCGCCCCCCAACCCCACCTCAGTATTAAGGAAACAAGATGCAAATACAACTTGCTATCCTGGGAAGGCTGCTGTGACCTGGTTACTACCACCCCACCACCGTGTCTAGGTTCCTCTCCCCTCCCAGTCCCCTGAGCTCCAATTTCTCTGCGTCTCTGAAAAAATTGATCATTCCTCTCCTACGTCTTTGCTCCCCTTCCAATTTCGATGCAAGCTGAAATAAAACCACATGAACATGGCTCAGCTGACAATGAGACAACAGCTGAGCAGGGCCTGGCACAGTGCTGGGTGTTTTTATCAGCCTAGTGAGTCCAGAAAAGGCTCTGGGAACAGTGGCGTAGCCAGCTTCTAAGAGGAGGGGGAGCAAACATAAAAAAGGCGCCCCCCCCTTGGCTCCTCCTCCGGCCACATCCCTTGGCTCCTCCTCTGGCCGCACCGCCCCTCCCACACTATGGCTCCTCCGGCCCTGCCGTGCCACCCCTGTGGCCCCCTTCACTCCTCCGGCCGCGGCTACCGGCTGCCATGCTGCGCCCCGCCACTCCTCTGGCCATGCCCACCGCCCCGCCATGGCTGCCGGCCGCACTGCGGGCCGTCAGCCTGCACTATCCCTCGCTCTTCCGGCCGCGGCTGTCAGCAGCGCTGCGGGCCGCATGCCGCGTCCCCCCGCTCCTCCGGCCACACCCGCCGCCTCCCCATGGTGGCTGGCTGCGCTGCGGGCCGCCAGCCTGCACCCCACCTCGCTCCTCCAGCCGCTTTTGAAAAGGCGGGGGAAGCGACTGCTTCCCCTGCACCCCGCTAGCTATGCTACTGTCTGGGAACCCTGAAGTCCTGGACGGGGGTAGGAACTAGTAGGAAGTGTCCCTGCTCGGTGGAAAAGGACAGAGGATGTCATGCTGTGATGGATGCAGAGGGAAACGGTAACTAGCACCCGACATCCCAGCAGCTGAAAGAGGGAGACAGCAGAGAGGAGACCCTCGAGAGAATGACCCCCACAGATGGCGGGCGCGAGAGACGTACACATCTCCCAGTAGAGAGAGAAGAATGAGCGCCCCGCTACATGCAAAGCTGCAGTCTTCAGTCCAGGAGGAAGCACCTGAGCTGGGCCAGGGCCCTTTATTTACCGCGAAGGTGTTAACACCACATCCCAGGCATCCTCTCTGCCCTTGGCCAGCTTCGCAGGATCATCAGAACTGCTGCTGTAAGCTGGGGGCTGCGTGGCACCATGTGACACAGGCCAGGAATACCTGTGAGCTGCCTGTGCTTCCCTCCCTCCGCAGGCCCCTGGCAGCAGGGATTAATGTGACCAAAGTGAGAACAGAGCCATGGTTCATGTTCGCAGAGCACAGCAATGGTGTTAGATCCTGGCTGGGCACCAGGTGACAGCACCAGCTGGAACTCAAGCAGTGCAGGTTTCCCCACCACAGCCCCCCCATCAGCATCCCTCTGCAAAGCCCAGGGAGAGGGGGAGCAGTCCGCCAGGGCAGTTAAACCCAGAGCTCACCTACAACCATGAGGTTGAATTCAAAGCCTGTTTTCATGGTCTTGATCCTCATCTGATCCAGCACCGCCTCGATGCCCACGTAGCCAAAGAGCTCCAGCCCCACGTTGGCTGGGTTAGTGTTGCGGGGCGTCTCCTCGGGCGCTGGCTGGACTGGCTGCCCCTCCATACTGATACACCCTGGCTCCGGGCTACTCCCTGGTAGGGGAAGGAGATTCCTGAGTTAGATACTTGGCGGCTTCACCAAGTGATAAAAACGAAAACAAACAAATGTGCTGAGGTTAGAAATCATCTGAAAATCATTAGAGCCAACCCCCAGGCCCAAAATCAATGAGTTAATAAGAATTCTAGAGCAGTGCTTCTTCCCCAGGGGCACGCGTATCTCTGGGGGTAGGCAGAGGTCTTCTGGGGGGGGACTCAACTCATCTAGATCAGCGTTTCTCAACCTGAGGGGGTCATAGGATGGGTTTAGGGGGGTGGCAAATGCAGGGCTGGCATTAGGGGGTGGCATGCAGGTTCAATTGTTCGGGCCCCACACCACGAGGGGCCTCGCGAAGCTAAGTCACATTCTTTAGCCCTGGGCTTGGGCTTCAGGGCTACAGTAGTCTGGAAAGGTTGAGAACCACTGTTCTAGAGCATGCTCAGCTGCAAACATATTTCAGTTCCCTAAATAAAGAAAGCCATCAGGCTTCCAGACTGGACGGGGAGCTCAAAGTCACAGCCATTCTCCTGGCCTGGGTTGTGAAATTCACCCTGGTCTAGCACCACTGGAGAAGGGAATTCCATGGGCACTTCTCTTGATGAGCTCATGACCTGGACCCCTCTGCAGCTTTGCAGCAGTTTCCCCGTCTGTCCTCCAGGAGCTGTACAGCTGCCCCCCATCTACCATGCTTCCAAGAGTGAAGGAGAGGATGGCAGAGCAGGTGGGCTGTGCTGCACCATCTGGGATCCGACAGTACAGCAAAGAGTCCCCTGACGAGAAGGCCGAAGCTGCAGAAGGCTTCCAGGAGATACCCACCCTGAAGGGGGTACAGGTCTGACCGCAGCCTGTGTGTTTGCTCTGTCAGTCTCCCGCCTGCTTGGAATCCACCTGAGCTCAGCCCGAGCCAGAGAAACAGGAAGAGCAGCGGTGTCTGGCAGGATCCTCCTAGTTCCATGCACCGTGCCCTGCCACTGGCACGCTAGGACGAACGGGGCATCGCAAAGCGCCCTGTAAGTGCAGAGGGTCAGAGACTGCCCCGGTTCAGGCCTTGCTCCAGCTCGCAGCTCAGGAGTCTGAAAACATTCATTTTGCAAAAATGGCTGAGGAAGTGAAACTCCCGTTTACGCTTTCTGCAGGGCCTGGCTAGTTGGAGACAGTCTCTGGGGGCCAGCATGTATTTACATATCTGGAGCTAAAGGCAGGGAGTTAGCAGGTAAATCTAGAGGTTGGGGTCTGAGGCTTGGGGTTAGAAGAACTGCGTCAAATCACGAGGCTCTGCTTCTGTCACCACCCCCACAAAGGGGCCCAAAATACGCCCTGCCATAAACTCTTTCCGTTGTGCACGGCTCCTGCATTAGATGGGAGAACCTCAATCATTCTCCCCACTATGACTTACTAGGGCTGTGCTCAGTCTAGTTCCAACGATCCCACCACAGGCTGCATCCCAAAGCGCTTGGGTGGACGGCACACAATTGTTCCAACACACGGGCAATGCTGGAATTTGGCATGATTATCCTGATAGGACTCCACAGTACGTGCAAGCAGCCCAGCCCACTGAGTGCAGCAGCAGTTACAGGGTGGGCGGGAGATGCTCAAGGGTGGATTCTCCACGGGATGCAAAAGCCACAGGAACCCACTTTGCAACTCGGCGATAATGGGGTGTCAGCAGTGTAATCTGATTGGCTACTGCGAGGGGAGCAGACTGGGTTAACAGGTGGAAGGGGGCTGGTGGAAGCCCGGGAGGATCCCAGCATGGATTGCCCTGGCAGCGACATGGCAGACTGGTATTCTCACCTGGGCCTTTCCATTGCTACTGGGTAGCAAGCACAACCTGACTCGTTTATTACATGTGTTATGGTAGCACATAGGGGCTGCCAACCAAGATTGGAGCCCTGCTGCGCTAGGTGCTGTACAAACACAAGGAGGTCAGGGTCTGAATGAGTTCGCCCTGCCAGGGCGCATGGCCAGCTGGCCACACAGCCACAGCTGGGGGTTCGCAGATTAAGCATTCCAGTCACATTAAGGAGAATGGAAGTGCCATGGTAACACACACAAAGGGGGAGGGCGAATGTCCCGGACACTATCATCAAGTCCAAGCGGAAACAGAGGCGTAGGCAGCATTTAGTTCCTCTGGGGCCAGAGGACGGACTAGAGAGCACACCTCCTGCACTCTGCCCCAATCTCAGACCCCTCTGGCTCTGAGACCAGCAGAAGGGCTGTGATGGTTGTTGGCAGGACCAATAAAGGTTTCCCATCAATGGCACACAGGAATGCACCTGTAACCTTTACAACGTGTCACCATTGGATTCAGGAGGAGCTTATATTACTTGTATTACAGTATCAGAGGGGTAGCCATGTTAGTCTGAATCTGTAAAAAGCAACAGAGGGTCCCGTGTCACCTTTAAGACTAACAGAACTATTGGGAGCATAAGCTTTCATGGGTAAGAACCTCACTTCTTCAGATGCAAGAGCACAACCTGACTCTTGCATCTGAAGAAGTGAGGTTCTTACCCACGAAAGCTTATGCTCCAATAGTTCTGTTAGTCTTAAAGGTGCCACAGGACCCTCTGTTGCTTTGTATTACAGTAGTACTGAGACGCCTCCAATACAGTCGCATTGTGCTAGGTGCTGTGTCTGACTACCAAAGGCACTAATATGCCCCCCTCACCATAGTATCTGAGCCCTCACAATCTTTACTGTATTACCCTGTGAGTAGGGCACTACTATTATCCCCATTCGACAGATGGGGAAACTGAGTCACAGAGGGGCCAAGGGACTTGATTGAGGTCACACAGGGAAGTCACACAAAATTGAATCCCAATCTGCCAACTGCTGGGCTAGCACCCTAACCCCGGGTCCATCCTTCCCTTCCCCACTTCGTACACTCAAAGAGACAGGCCCTGCTTTCGCTGAATTAGAAGACACCCCCAGCTTTAATTTATACCCAGGATGCCAGGCCATAGCAAGTGAACATTTGATTCTACAAACACTGGCCTTCTATCCACAATGATGCATAGGTCAGTTACAGAATAGGGAGAGAGAGTAGCAGCCATCGCACAAATGTGGCACCACCACTGGCCACGCAGCAAAGGGATCATGCCACAGGACAGCGGTGGCCCCAGTGACTTTGCACAGTTTTTGCTGTTTGCTGCAGCAGAGGGGAAAGGGACAGGGTTGACTGAGCAGCGTTTGCAGTTTTACTCCTGAGCCTTTGCACTGTTATCCAGTTGTAGCGTGGGATCTGGCTCCCTCCCAGACGATGGGTTGTACACACTGGGAGAAAGAGGGGATGTGGACAGAGAAGCGCCTCTTTCCAGCTGCCCTGGCAACCTCTCAGACACAGCCAAGGCTGGGACAATGGCTCAGAGTTCATCAACACATGCTTCTTGAATAGTGACAAGCTCGCAAGATCTGTCTAGGAGTTTGGGGCATGCCCAGGAGCTTGCAAGCTTAGCCCAGGCACTCTGGTGCAGGAGTCAGGAGAGGTTTCACACTGAGGCAGGGTCAGGATTTTTTAAATGGCTTGGTTCAGGCTAAGATGCAAATGCTGCGTGAAAAGCTGCTTGCACTGGATTTCAGAGTCAGACTGAAACCAGATGGCTGGCATGTGGGGAAGGGAAACATATGCATAGGAGTCACCAAACTTCTAAGACGTTGGGCATGGAGCATTGGGAGCTCCCTGGAACAGGCTAAATTAACAGCTCTGAACCTGTCCACAACCTTCAGAAAAGGTGCATCATGGGCAAAAGCAACGCATGCTTCCTCCCCATCTCATCGATGGGCCTCAACTCTGGGCCAGTCAGTCCCTGTGCCAACAAGGGCCACTTAACCCACCATCATGGGTGGCACTTTGTGCTGGGAACACACCTGCCAGAGAATTAAGACCTTTGAATACCCAGCCTACATTCTGGGTGCCTACCACAAGTCAAACCACACAATACGAAATGCTGGCCAGACATATGCTGCCATGAAGCCCCTCCAAACCTCAGCCCACGTCCTCCCAAAACAAAAAATGGGCTTGACTGCGTGCCTGGGATTTAGAGCCCTTGCTCTGGCAGATCGAAGGAGCGGATTCCAAACCTGAGGACACCTCTTGGACAACACCCTGTTGGTAGCTCCCTCATTTATACTGGCAGTGTTCAAGCACCACAGCAGATCTCAGCTGTAGCAGTACATGATGGCATGTTTTCCAGGTCCTAGACCATATAGCGCTTCCTAGGTTAAACCCAATGCCTTGAATTCCGCCTGGAAGCCAGTACACATCCCAGAGCACTGACTTATTAAAGTACGGAGCAGGCTGCAGAATTCTGCACTAACTTCAGGTTCTGGATGGTCTTAGGGTGCAGCCCCATGCAGAGCACTTACAGCAGTCTAGCCTCAAGGTGACAAGGGTGTGGATACTAGTGGCAAGGACCCTGCTTCAGAGACAAGAGGTCACATTCACTTAGCCAGATGCAGAGGAAAATACCAGAACTCTTGGCCAAAGGCACATCCAGGCGTGGCCCAGGATCTAATACTGCGCAAAACTCAGGCACCTGTTTGACAGACATGGTCCCTCACTCAGGCCAACCTTCTCTTCTCTGGACTGCGTCACAACCGGTAAGCCTTCATCAAAGGCCTGGCCTACAGAAGGGTTGCTCTGGTTTAACTACAAGGCGCTACTTTCAATGGGTACATCATTGTGTGTGGACACTCATGTTAGTCTACACCTGGTTTACGTTGGGTTAGCTTGCACCTGTATGTTTAACTAACTCAGTTTATCATCACAACTTTAGTTTAAGTCAGAACAATTTCTATATTTAGAGAAGTTCTAAGCCCCAAGCTCATCTAGCCATTGGGCATTTCATTCTTCTGCTCTGCTCAGGTCAGAGGTGAGAGATGCAGAGCTAGGGGTCATCAGCAATCTGAGGCCTGTTCATTAACTCTCCCAGCAGCCTCACATACACATGGAGCAGAAGCAGTGACAACATTGGTCACCGGAATCCCTCACAAGAGA